AAGGACCGCTTAATTGAGGCGACATGTCTTAATTAATACCCCACGACGCCTTTTTGGATCAATCGACTTTATACTCGTTCGCTGCGTGATTGGTTTTTTACACGACTGCTGCTGCTGCTGTTACAGCATACATACACATACAAGTGTGTATACGCGTGTATGTATATTTTCAGCCAGTAGATCGGTGATTAAGATAGTATAAAATCTGGTTGCTCTGCAAAGAGAGAAAGAGAGAGAGACAGAGAAAGAGAAAGAGAGTGCACACGAGATACTGATGCGTCATGCTATGAAATACGACAAAATATAGGAGAGCATCCCAAGACGACGACGACGACGACGACGACGACGACGCCACTTTTTTTTCATAACGAGTTTGTTGAAATGTTCATACACACGCGCATATATATAATACGCGTTTGATGATATTCCTGTTTAGCCGTGGAAATGTGTGTATATATTTATATCGAGAGACGAGAACGATCCGGTGGCTCGAATCCGTAATCGCGCGGGCCGAATCTCTCCACCGAGAGTTTAGCTCGCTCGGGTATCTTAATTATGCCCCGTGTTATTTCCGCGGCGCGCGCGGGCTACACACAGCACACACACACACACACACGTATTTAAATTACAAGCAGTGCCAAATAATTTCTTCGCTCGCTTTTGATTTATCGGCCGGTGTGTGCTATCCTGCCGATGCTGCTGCTGCTGCGTCGCAAAAGTCTCCGAAACGTCCTTCGGATCGAAGAGAAGAAGAACCCCGAGAGACAGAGAGAGAGAAAATAACAAAAATCCAAGTTTTAATTGCTACTCGTGGCTGCTGCTGCTGCTGCTGCTGCTCGTGCTGTTACTGCAGCGTATATATACGATAAATAATAACCTGTTAGATATTAACGTAACGGTAGCAGAGGACACTGCGGACGCTCAACTGGATCTCTCTCTCTCTCTCTCCCTACATACATAAAATGACCAATCACGTCCGCAGCTTTTCAAACTTTTTTTCCTCATATATGTGTATGTGTGCATCGCTTATCTAACGGTGAATTGTGCCTGCTGATATTGGTCGTTTTTTCCATGATTATTAACAACGCTAACGCACGTGTATCGTGCGACGTTATTATTAGTTCGTTCGATATTTATGCGGAATGCCAAACTCGACTATATACGCTGCTACTTGCGTTTGAGACCATCGGATGAGTCTGCGAACGTTGGACGGAATTAGACGAAAGTCGATACAAATTATTATCTTGTTTTTGCGATCTCGTGGAAAAACGAAACGACGTTTCAATGCACGTTTCGCGATACCGCACGAGCACAATTTATTCCGCGCAATGATTCATTAATTCTTACTTTCAAAAGTTATATATTTCGTACGATTCGGGCCAAAAAACTTTACTCACCGTTCGAAAATAATATTTTTTTTTTTTTTTTTTTTAAAAAAAAAAAAAAACCAAAATTGTGATTCATTCGATCGAGTGCGTGTGAAATCTCGAGAAATTATGCGTTCGCGAAGAGAGTAAGTGAATGCAAAAGAACACGTCGCGTCGTCGACCTCCCGGCGTCCGACGGATTGCGCTCGTATACTATACGTGCGCCGATCAATTAACCAACCATCTTCGTATCGTTCTCTGTTAATATTAGCGTCGAAATTTGAATTTGTACTCGATCGAAGAAAATAATTAGGAAATGTAGGGAAATCGTTAAATAAAACATGAGTTGTATTTTTTTTATTACGCTTTGATTTAATGTATTATCATATACTTAAAATTTTTTTACAATCATATATTACATATACACTTTTTACAATTATGAATTCTTTTCATCGTCTGTGTGTGTGTGTGTTTTTTTTTTCTTGCTGCTTTGCCAATTAATTAAATTAACTATTATAAACTATCACTCGCCTTATTCGCGTACACGTGCGAGGAGTCGAGTCACACGGGCCACACAAGATAAGCATGCGACTTCCTTATTTTCTTTTTTCATATATATTTCATATATATATATAGCTCTATTCGATGAAAAAAAGACAATATCCTAATTCGTAGGCTACTTGCGCTAATCCCTAATAATACTACCGATAAATTTAACCTTCTTTTTCATAGCTGTTTATTATTTTTTTTTTGCTGTCGGGGGTGTGTGGGAATGAACGTCACAATTTCTATATTTATATAATTAATGTATAAATATGCTTTTACCATAAGTAATTTAACAGCTGGAACTTGGATTCTCAATTGTTGCTGTTGATTTTTTCATTATATGCTCGATGGAAACGATCGCGACGCATCGACACTATCACAATTTTCCGCATCCTTATAAGCGAACGCAGAGGGCATCGCGACGTTTACCTCTTTTTATCCACGTATCAACAAGAGAGAAAAAATTTTCACAGATGCGCAGCTCAAATCGTCTTTTCCCTATTTTTTTTTATTGTATTTAAGATATAAGTTGTGTGAACTCTCGGATACTTTTTTCGATTTACTATTGGGATACGTTTTTTTTACACGAGGCTTTCGTTTACTTTTATACGCATATTCTCATACATAACTATGATTTTTTTAAGTAGGAATTTCGACACAAAATGCCGCTTTCGGTAGTGGTCGCACAATCTATAATTTTTTTTTTATCGATAATACAATATATCCATTGAAGTAAAGTTTACACGCAACACTCACAGGCGCACACCATTTTTTGTCGAACTTATACAAAATGTACAACAACATTTTTTTTATCACACTTTATATTATTATATTCTATGGCTTGTACCAAGAAGAACATTTACAATCATACATTTATAAAGTGCACTGATCGAAAATTCACAGTTATATCATGCTTTCACGATAATGTATACTCGTTAATGCGGTGGGTTGAAAGGGAGTGAAGTTTTGTGAAAAAAATATTTAAAAAAAAAAAAAACAAACAAAAACACATGTATTATTAACAACGATGAATTTTCACGTCGTCGTTTACACGACGTGTTTCCATTGTAATCGGAAAAATTCAGTTACAGTTTGATAATCGGTATAGTTCCTATAATTTTGACATAACTTTTATGTTCAAAATTATTAAGGATTGTTTTGAGTGATTTTCAAACTAGTATCTGAACACATTGATATATTTTTCGAAATATAACAGCAACATAAAACCAATTAAACGAAAATTGCACAAAACGCTGATTACAACAGCGCCGTCGAAACAAAAGTTAAGCTAATTCAAGTCACGCTTTTATTATCACTTTACGTGGACTGACTTAGGCATGTAGGTCGTTCGAATTCATTTAATGAAAAGATTTTATAATTAAATTTAAATTTTTTAGTCAATTTAAATTTTAACCAATTATAAATCGATCGCTCAATCGTACATGTGTGAATTTGCCAGAAGATTTTTCTAGTCAGGGACAGCAGCAGTAAGAAAAAAAAAATGATTTTCCAAACTCGAGCCTAGAACAGTTGAACGCTTGAATAAGTCTCGTTCTTATATATTTATTCTCCTGAATATGCAGTTGCCGTATTAGCATAATAGCGGGGACTCAGTACGCCGACTCGTTAATACGGTTCTCGCAATCCGATGGAATGAGCCGAGTGACTTTGGATTGAAGCCTTGCTTTGTTTTTTTTGCTTATCATTTTTTTTTTCGTCGACAAATAAAAACCTAATTTGGCTTTGAACATTTGCAAAGAGGAACTTACAGTTCTGATTTTTAATAGCACAGAAATTAAAAAAAAAAAATTAAATAAATAAAAACACTACGTTAAGTCGGTTTGACTATTAAGCTATGAACCCGATACTGAATCGTCGCAACGCCTCAATAGCGTGTGCAGAGACTTAACTTAAAAAAAAATTTTCAATAAATAACAAATTACTCGTTAATGGTACGAATTTTTCCTAAATCCGCTGGGGCGCGCGAATCACAACTCTCCATCGATAAAAAAAAGTAGGTACAAAATCACATAAAAGAGAGAGAAAAAAAAACACCTAAAAGAAAAGAGGAACGAAGCCCTGGGTTATCGCTCCGTGTTAATAGCGACGCGTGTGACGTTTCGATGTACATGCTACATGTGCATACATTTATGTTTTGCATATAGTCATAAATATATGTACAAATTTTTTAATGCGCATCTAGACGCGATCATATACATCTGTGACTCACACGAATGTACACGAGTTAACGTATTTTTCTTTCAAAGGGGGCTATCGATTTTCAACTGTAAATGTTATCTATTGCGAGCAGTTCACGAAACGAAGTTAAAAATTCCGCCTATACATATTATATTCTCGATGCTCTCTTTCTTCTTCGTACGTTATATAGGGATACAATTACGCATGAACCATCGTGAACGTTTCAATGTTTTTTTTTTTATATCTACATACGGTTTACAATGGTGTGCTTTGAAAAGTTCGAAAAGCTACTTTTATAATATTATTTACAAAAAGTATTTCATATCTCGCTCGAAAGACTCAACACGCTAATTAATTTAATTAATTAATATAAAACATTCACATATTTAAATAGTTTGTTTTTTTATGCGGGATTTAATCTATGCTTTTATATATATAATATTAATAATATCATATTTCAATTGTAACTGTACGAATTTGTTTTAATAATAATATTTATAGGCATATATTTATAATTAATCGATATTTTTTTTTTCTTCATTATATTTAAAAAAACTGACTTTGTTTGTACTTAGGAGGGCCGGGGCTCGGTGGACCCTATGCATTTTTTTTTCTCTTGTAGTTCATTTACTTCATTTACTTTTAAAATCCTTAAACTCGATAATGTTTTTTTTTTAATCCACTTACTTAATCCTTTAACGTACGCGTGTTCATATACACTCACACTCACAAGGTGTATGAATTATAAATTACGATTGTGTTGCGTGTATTATCGCGCGCGCATCGCTTTACATATTTACAGGTCACTACTTCTTCTTCTTCTTTTTTTTTTTTTTTTTTTTTTGATGATGGAGCTTCATCCTCTGCGGTTGAACGTCTTCTGTCTCTCTCTCTCTCTCTATCTGGCTTGTGTGTAAGTATTAAAAGCGAGCAATTTTTCGTGCCCAGCTTTTATTTAGTGACTGAAGATATCGCTCGTTCAAGTGTATTCCGATCTCCAGCCCGTCTGTAACAGAGAGAACAGAGGCAAAAATGCCCATCGTCAGAGCTGCGTGACTCGTGACTTTTGCACACACATACGCGTATATATACACGACTTCGATCGCTTTTATTCTTTTCTACTGCGCGCGCGGGGCACACGCGATGGAATATGAATTTTTTAGCGCGCGCGTCCAACGACTCTCCGCTGCGGACCGAATTTATTTGTATCCGTATACACATTTTACGATACGCATAATGAGACGCGAGATGTGGCCTTTTGTACTTGCTGAATGATTGCCGTTTTGTGCTTTTCAAAATGTGCTCGGGAAGGATTGATCGATCGAGTCGCGCAAGCGAGAGAGTAAAATTGTTTCGAGATTATTGCGAAAGGAGATTTGCTCGCGCGCCTAGATTATTATTCCGAATAATTTTTTTTTTCTTCTTCTTTGTTTCGTACGTCATTCAAATCGTATTTAACGAGAAAAAGCTGTCTCGGTACTCGGAAACGAGTTGATACTTAATAACGGGTTATATATATTATATTTATGTGTGTGTGTGTGCGCCGATGACTCACCATTGCATTCGTCGTGGCGGCCAAGTGCAGTCCCTGCAGACTGCTCATGTGCTGCGAGTGCGGATGGGCATGGGAATGGGGATGGATCGAGGGCGGCGGCGGCGCCGTGAAGCCCTGGTGCAGCGAGCCCGTCACGCCGACCCCGACGCCCGTGTGGTACATGTAGTGCTGCATGGCCGGGTGCATCGTGTGGTGATGCTGCGAGGTACCTGCAATTAAACCGGAGGAAAAATTCGATCAATATATTTGAGTCGTTGATGATCTTTTGTCGATGTATGAAGGAAGAAGTTGGTATACTCACGGTAGTCGCTCATGGGCGCGCCGAAGCCCGAGTGGAAGGGCTTGTTGTCGAGGTCCAGATGGGCGCCGGTCTTGATCATGTCGCCCATCACGCCGATGCCCAGGCAGCTGCTCGACTTTTTCTTTTTGCTCTTCGAGGAGAGCTTGCGATTGCGCGTCTGGATGCCGTCCTTCTTCATGGTCAGCGGTCGGTTCACCTGCGAACAGCCAAAACAAATGATTTTTCGGACTCGTTAGTATATACGATATGTGAAAAATTACTTATTAAAAGTACAATAAAGTCGAGGATGGGGTATATGGACAGATGTGTGTGTATGTGTGTGAGTCATTCGAGTTAAGGAATGCTTTCCGCGCGCGCAGACTTTCGACTACCAACTCCGCTGCTCTCTGGGGCTGTGTGTGTGTGTCTGTGTGCACCGTGCGCATGATGAATAAAGATATCTCGTTGCGCCGCGTGCAATATCGTGATTTATCGCGTGTTGCACGAAATGGCACTATAGTATAGTAGGAACGGAGTAGTGCGAGGCACACAAAAAAAAAAGAGTAAAAGAGAAAGAGAGTGAGAGAGAGAAAAGAAAGAGATGGTCGCGCGATCGCGTTATCTATCTTTCGTCTAGATTGAAATAGTCGCGGAATGAAAGAGCGGCATTGTGAGCCTATCGCTCGACACCATCGCAAAAAGTCGCCGCGCGCGCACACACGTATATTATAAGCTCCGTTTTCTGCGCCATGTGTGCACTTGTGTGTCTGTGTGTATGTGTGTAAGTGTGCTGCTGATACTGGAGAGCTGCTACTGCTGCTGCTGCTACTTTTCAGACGCGTATATAAATATATTATATGAGAGAGAGAGAGAGAGAGAGTTCGGTGCACCGGGCCGGCGCGCGTTATCGGGCCCGAACGATCGACGCACTTGGATTTCAGATAGGTGCATCGTACTTATAATACGTATATACATGCATCTCGGCTCGTATTAATCCTGTGCTCTCCGCGAGCGATGCTGATCGTTAGAGCTGCTACCGTGCACAGAGCTTCGGCACGTGCGAGCTTTTCGTGGAATTTTATTCTCTTCTTTAAAACGTTATAATCGACCGCGCGAGGTTTGCGAAATATGCACTTTGCTCGTTTTATTTTTTATATTTTTGCTCGAGTTGTACACGTGCTGCTGCTGCTGCTGCAATACAATCGGCGAACAATCGGTGCCTATACACGCGTTTATCCCATCGTTTATTAGCTTTGGGCATAGGCGTTTTATATATTACGATATTATTGCCACGATTTTTCTCAACGTTACATAGAATCGACTGCGCGCGCGGCGCGAGAATATAAATATACAATTGAAAATCATTCGTTTGATTATATTTAGAAAAAAAAAACAACAACAGAAAATAAATAAAAGAACGCGGAGCCCGAGTGTTAAACAATAGTGAAATCCTGACGGTTAATGAGAGGCTGACTCGCTCGGCTCAGCATCGACACACACACACGTACAATCAACACAGTATCATATGCGAATGTCTACGTGCGTGTGTGTGTGTACATAAGCATAAATGCTAAAAAGCCCCGTAATTACAGGATTAACGCGGCCGTTGTCGAGATCTCGCGCACGCGCATAAAGTCGAGAGCTGCGCTGCACCGCTGCGGAGAGTAATGTGTACAACACACACACACACACACATACGTGCGCCAAGTACAAACGACCCAAGCGCGAGGAGTTAATGCGATATTATATGGAAGGAGTCCGTAAGGAGTAAAAGCTTGGAGTTTTCCGCCGCGGTCTGCTGCTAATATGCACACGTACGCAGACACATACGTAGTTATTGCGATGCTCGGCTGCGTTTTGTATACATATATACTTCTTATGTAGCCAAGTCGAAGCTAATACGAAGCTGAGTATAGCAGCCGTCAGAGAGAGAGAGAGAGAGAGATCTCGAACTCGAGCTACGTATGGCCACATGCGGCGTATGTATTAACGCGCATAAACCTCGCGAAACGTTTCACATGTCACAAGTTGCTGTTTTATTTTTTTATATATTATTAAGTAACGAGAAGAGTCAAGCGGTGGTGGCACAGAGACGTAGAGGATCGCGACGAGCAATAAAATAAGTACACTTTGCGCCTTTCGACGCGATTGATAAAATCGATATATTATAACGCGACTATGTATCATTTCTTCTGTGTGAATGGACGTCAGCAGAGCAGCACACACGTGCACGAATCGCTGTACATGCATCGAATTTAGGCTGAAGCTCTTTTTACGCAAATATTAGGATTACGCCCGTATAATATTAAAATATTCAATTGCGCTCGTTTGCTCTCGTTGGCCTGGTAGAAACGCACGTAACATTGTTTTATGGCTAGTTTTTGGACAACTAAAAACTAAAAACTAACAACCAGAGGATAGCTGATTTTATTAATTTAAAACCGAATTTTGACTCTACTACTTGCAGATTTCAGATATCATGTACTAGCCATCTAGTGGCAGAGGCTCAAAGTGATCGAAAACGGTCTGAGTAGCATTGACAGGTCATTTAAAATGCTTTCAACGATTCCAACACGATTGTATCAGAAAAATTGCCAAAAACCAACCAATCGATGGTCATGTTTAAAAAGTTATTTTTCAACAATCCGATCATAATTAGGTCCGAGCATATATCTACCAGTGTTATTACGCATTTATAATCTACACGCGGGGCAGCAGATCGCGAGCATGTGCTCCAGCGCAGAAAACACACGTCGAGATACAACAATACGAGTGTATATCCACGTTTTATTCATACGAGCGAATAGAAAGAAAAATCAGTCAAGGCCATTACTCAGTTGTGTGTGTATGTATGCACACGAGAGCCATACATATGTGTTTATGAGCCTCGTGTGTATACGTGTCAGAGAGAGAGAGAGAGAGAGAGAGAGAGAGAGATAGAGATTCGCATGCTAGGCGAGAGAGCTGAAACAATGGCTGGCAGAGCGAATATATATACTGACGCAACGCAACGCTCGCGACGCGATCGCAAGCAGCGGCAAGGGAGCTGCTCTCTTGTGCAGTAGTATATAGCAGATAGAGAATCCGTGCACCGTGTGCGCAGTGCAGTACGCGCGGGGATCGATCGATTGCGCACGTTATATTCGAGTTTTAGCGCGGGAAAATCCAATGCGTATATACGTATTATATACATGTATGTGTGAATTTTTTTCCATCCGTGTGCGCGCGGATTGATTGTTCGTTTTGTGCACGTGCTCGCGGATCGGTACACCGAGATTAGCAGTTTTAGATATATGTGTATGTATTAAAGCCTCTGCGCGCCGCGATCCGATTGATTAATAATAATGCATAAATATACCCATTGAGAATCGAACTGCATCGCGCGCACAGATGTGTATAATATACGAGGGGATACTTGGATGCCTTTGGAAGCCGAGAGAATTTCTCGTATTATTGTTGTTGTTGTTACGAGCGTCGTTATATATTAATACACACGCACAGAAATATAGAGATATACGGTTATACATAATGAATGAAAATTCAGCTAAGCTCGAGATTTCGAGAGCGAAAATACATATACGTGTATTTTCTCGTGCGATCCGCGAGCTGGAACTACTATAGTCCGCGCACTCTTGAAATTCTTCGCGCGCGGGCACTTTTACTGCGGAGAGGAGCTGCTCCGAAGCTCGTTACATACACATACACACAGACACGCGGGCGGGCAATTACAATTAACGAATCGACACTATACGTTACTATATAGCGCACAATTCCAGAGCAGCAGCTGCTCCGCTTGCTATATATACTCATCTTCTGCGCACTGTATCGCTTTAACGCGCGTCGAGCTCTTTCTCGTCGACTCTTACGGTGCGTGCGTGTGTGTAAGTCTGCGCGGAGAGAGAGAGAGAGAAATTTTTTTTTAGTAATTTTTCAAACTCTTTCTCGCCGGTGAAATTGTTGCACTCGCTATATAGCTAGAGCTGTATAGCTTCGCTCCACCCTGGTGCGCTTTGTTTGCCGATCCGCGATTACGTTGCAATAATATACAGCGGCGCGTGCTGGCCATATAGCTGCAGCTCTAGAAAATTGCAACGGCTCTCTCTCTCTCTCTGGGCTCTGTGTATAAAAGACAATTTGGTCGAAATTAATTCTCTAGGATCCGTGCGCTGCAGCAGCACTACAGCACAGAATAGAAGACGGAAGAGGAGATCACGGCCACTGGTGTGTGTGCGTTACCTCTCCTCATCTATACTCGTCTTCTTTTCTATAAGGAGCTAACAGAGCTGCTGCTGCTGCTGCTGCTGGAGGAGGTTGGAGGAAAATAAGACGATAGCGATTTTCTCTGCCGCACTATGCAGTTCTGTGTGTGTACGATCGGCTACATAATGGTACACATACACGCGTATCGTATGTAATACGCGTTTGATGAGAGACTCCGTGTGTGCACTGTGTTGTACTCATGGTGCTGTGCCCTCACCCGCCGATTGCTGTATATATACGAAGTAAAAGAGAGAGAGAGAGAAAATGGACAGTGATGAGCCTCGAGCGCGCGAGGTCTCTCTCTCTCTCTCGAGAAAGAGTATCTTATTTTTCATATTATTAAGTCGCGGCCACTTTCGTCTCTTTTTTGCGCGCTCCATGTGTATACGTTGTACTGTATTTACGTGCATACTGCTGCTTTGTGTGTGTGTGTGTGTGTGTGTGTGTGTGTGTGTGTGTGTGCGTATCGCGCTGCTTCGTCACGCTAGCCAAGAAAACTGCAGCGAGTTGGTCTCGAGGCACGCGTGCACACACACACACGGATACACACTCGCACATTTGATGCACTATACTACTACTACTACGTCGTCGTCGTCGTCGTTGTTGTTGCTGTAATTTTCTAAACTCGGAACTTATATACATGTATAGACACTCGAGTGCCGAGTGATTTTCCAATTAATCCGGAGCCGCTGCAGCTATATACCATCAGCGGACAAATGATAAAACGTCGAACTAGTGTTAATATACCTTGATCGAAATGTTGGCGAGTTTATATTTTTATAAATATATATGATGTACGTCTTCTTCGTATATATAAGTATGCAGTATACACCAGAGAGAGAGGAAGAACCGCCGCTTCGTGTAAGAGCACAGCGCGAGGGTGTACATGTATGTGTGTCCGTGCGCGGCGCGCTGTACGCGATGCACTTTGTAGTCGCCGCGTGACGTGACGTAACT